GGGGGGGGGGGAGACACTGCTTAGATGCCTGGGCTGTGGGCAGTGGGCCCCTGATTGGGTGGGGAGGGGTCCCTAAGGGTGGACCCTGGGTAGTCCACTGACCTCCCACCTGTGTGCTCCCCAGCTCCCGTGTCCCGTCCTCTGCTCACCCTGAGACCCACCAGCCTAGTTGCGGGGGACGAGGTGGAGCTCCTCTGTGAGGCCCAGAGGGGCTCCCCTCCGATCCTGTACTCATTCCACCTCAATGGGGACATCCTGCGGAACCACGTGGCTCCCCACGGGGGACCCGCCTCCTGCCTCTTCCGGGTGATGTCACAGCAGGATGCTGGGAACTACTCCTGCGAGGCTGGGAACCGTGTTTCCAGAGAGACAAGTGAGCCCAAGACACTCTCTGTGGATGGTAGGTCTTGTCCCCCAGCTGGGCTCTGAGCCCCAGACCTCACTGTTCTGTGTTCCTCCTGCCATGCCCGGCACAGGGCTGGGTCCAGAGCAGGCACTCCTGACTGAGCAATGACCCTGCTGGGAATATCTGCACTGAACCTGGTGGGGAAAGAGTGAAGCTCATAGAGAGGGAGGGGACGCCACGGGGGGAGGGGCCACATGGTCAGCCATGGTATTGCCCATCCACGTTGACCTCCTTTGGTCCACCCCTCATTCCCAGTGGCCAGGCTTCTTCAGGCCAGGTGTTTCCCACTTATCTGGGGTGCATTTGTGAATTTCATCCTCAATGCTCATGGTCACCTCTACTCACCCCCCAGATCCTCAGGGCTTCTCTGACCCCGCCAGTAGGAACTGGCTGGTTCCTGGGCTGCTTGCAAGCCTGCTTGCCATGATGGTCGTTGCTGCTGCACTTCTGGGGTATTTCAGACCCTGGAGGAAAGACGGTTAGTAACTCTTTTTGGCCCTCTTGGTTACTGAATCTCTATGCCAGGCACAATCCAGCCACTGGAAAGCCAGAATCTATGGGACTGGCTGCTTACTTCCGGGTACTGGAGGGCAGAGGGACTTTTCTTCACATGTCATGCAAAGGGGCCCATGGAGGGACACTTACAGCTTCTAGAACTCACACACACCCAGGAGAGTGTTGGTGCGGTCACACAAACACGCTGCTGCACACTCAGGAATGAACAAGGCACAAACAGAGGAATTCTTACAAGCCAAACGAGACCAGTTTGGCTTTACATTTGACCAGTGTCCTTCACAGTTGAAAGACAGTCTGTGGCTGTGACTATGACAAACCCCAGGCCTCCAACTGTCTCCCTGAAGTCAGGGGAGCTCTGGTCCACTTAGCAGGGGAGAAAGAGGACATGAGAACTCAGTGCACATGCGTGCTCACGCACACACACTTCTGTGCTGTGCTGGGCTCTGGGTGAGTGTCCATGTATGTCAACTCGACAGGAAGGAAGTGTGGCGGGAGGACTGGGGAGTGGCCTGGTCCCAGCACTGCTATTTACTAATTCGGTGACCTTGGGCCAGTTTCCTCGAAGCTTCACTAAATGTCTTCCTCTAGGGATGGTGTAAGGTCTGAGATAATGAGGTAACATCTATCTCATACCTGATGTATTAGCCTGGCATTGAGTGGGAGCTCAGTATGTTCTCATTCTAGTTTGAACACATCACCTGGCAGGTTCCCAAGCTGCCTTTGCTCCTGTTATCCATTCTCTAATTCCTCTGATCAGAGTCTTTGAAAATAAAAAGTTTAGTTAAGTTTCAGATGAGATGTGAAACTATCCTATAAGATATTGTCTACCACATGCCCACCTCCAACTTACATTTCAACAAGCCTTGTTTCTCTTAACAGCATTTAAAGACTGAAATATGTACTTTTGAAATAAATCCATAATGTGCTTTTGTGGAAGAACAACAACAACAAAAAATCAGATGAGAGTAATGCTATAGACAAAGGATTCTATAGGGAGAAAGAGGCTTCTCTGATAGCTCAGTTGGTAAAGAATCTGCAAGCAATGCAGGAGACCCCGGTTCGAATCCTGGGTCAGGAAGATCCCCTGGAGAAGGGATAGGCTACCCACCGCCGTATTCTAGGGCTTCCCTGGTGGCTCAGCTGGTAAAGAATCCGCCTGCAATTCGGGAGACCTGGGTTTGATCCCTGGGTTGGGAAGATCCCCTGGAAAAGGGAAAGGCTACCCACACCAGTATTCTGGCCTGGAGAATTCCATGGACAGTATAGTCCATGGGGTCGCAAAGAGTGGGATACAACTGAGCAACTTTACCTTTCTATAGGGAGAAAGAAGTGAAAATAATTAGATAAATGGAATTTCTAGGTAATCTATGGGTTTTGAAATTTAAGACTCTTCTCCTCTTCCTGTCTTGGTCATGATAATTAAGCATGAATGTTGGCTTTCAAAGCAATCACCTTCGGTGGCTCTAAGTTATTCCAATTTTAACCTTTGTTTGCCTGAAGCCATGTTGAAGGAATGGCTCCCAGTGCCAAAGTTATTTGGTGCCAGTTTATTCCTAGGGCACCTACAGTGGTTCAAATCAACCTATTTCTTCCTCCCCCAGGGGCAACATTTTTATTTTCCACTTGCCAAGGGCAAAAGTAATTGGTGTCAGGAACAGCCCTGAAGCAGGGATAGGCTGCCCACCCCAGTATTCACGGGCTTCCCTGGTGGCTGAGCTGGTAAAGAATCCGCCTGCAGTGTGGGAGACTGGGTTGGGGACCTTTGATTCCTGGGCTGGGAAGATGCCCTAGAGGAGGAATGGCCGCTCACTCCAGTACTCTTGCCTGGAGAAGCCCAGTGGACGGAGGAGCCTGGCGGGCCACAGTCCCTGGGGCTGCAAAGAGTCAGACACAACTGAGCGACTGAGGACAGTGCAGTAGGAGAGAGATGGAGGTAGGCCCAGAGTTAGATGGGGAGGCAGCAGGAGCAGGGGCCATGAACTGATGACCCGTGGGCTCTCCCCTCCCTGCACCTGTATAAAACCTCCTTCCGGGCCTGGCCTCAGGAGCATGGCTGTTCCTACCCACTCACCTCTGGGTCAAAGCATTAAAGGCAAAGCAACGCATCACAGTCTTCTCCTCCCAGCCCCAAACAAGATGGTGGGGGAGCAGCCACTGATGAGAGATCTTTAAGAAGATGCCTTTCACAGGGCACAAAGGGACATCCCTCTTCACGTGGAGACTCCGCCTCCCCACTCATTCCCACCCCCCACACCACCCCTACCGTCAGCCTGTGAGCACCTGGGCTCCATTTCACAAGAAACTTGTCTCTCGTGAAAATAAGACTCTCAGTGGAGGTCTTACCATTTCAGAATCTCAGGGGCACAAATCCGTCTTTAGAATGTCACTCAGAAAACCGTCTTCAGGCCAAATTCCACAGTTACCCAAGAAACACTGTCCAACAACTTTTTTCTCCATGCTCAACTTTCCAAGACCCTTAATCATTTCAAGACAGCATACCCACTCCTCAAGAATTGCAAACATCCCGAAGACTGTATCTCTGAAGGCTATCTTCAAAGCGTTTTGACCAATGATGGAATCACTGGAACTAGGATGTGGTCATATAGGAGGTCTGCTTCAAATAGCACTTACATAAGTGTACAAGTTCTGGCGGTTTTTTAAGTGTTCATTTTACTTCCTGTTGTCACGCCTCCCATAAAACACAGTTCCATCAAATTCATGGAGCTCTTTGGGACTGAAAACTCAGAATCACAGCCTTGACAGATGAGCATCAGGGAATGTTTAATAATCAGGGGCCTCTCTGAGTCTCCACAAATGCCCTCTTCGTTTTACAGGAGGAGCCATGTCCAAAGGTGATACCTAGTGACTCTGATGCTTTCTTGCTATTAGAGCTGATGAATACTTCTTGGACACCAGGCATGAACTGGGTGTTCTCAAATACACCTGTGACCCAATTCCCATCCCAAGACATAATTTTTAAAGTTCTGGAAATGCCTGCTATTACAGAGGCGGCAGGCTAATGGAGAAAACACATACACACTGGATTAAGATTCTGTCTCCACCAGCTTTCTGTGTGACCTTAAAGAAGTCACCTCTCCCAACCAATCACCTCATTTTAAAAAATAGAAATCATAGTATTAACCTTTGCAAGGTGGTTGTGAAGAATGTCAGACACCAAAGACTTAGGAAGGGGGGCTTTTTTGACATCCAGCTCTCTGCTGGTCCCTGGGTGAGGAGCTTTGCTATTAAGTAGATGTTGTATTTGAATTCCCTGGTCCTGGTGTGTTTCTGGCACATGGTGTGTTGTCAAAGTTGTTAGCTTTCCTCCTTCTAAAAAGCAGCCTGGCTTATGGATCTGCGCTGTTTCAACGCAAGGGTGTAACCCATCTTTTCTGACCCTGCTTCCTCCTGTTTGTGATTCCTACAGAGCCATCCTATCCACTAGGGTATTTTTTTTTTCCAAAAGACACATCCCATAAAAATTAACCAAGTCCAGACCTGTTGATTAACAATCATCAACAAACCAGTCTCAAACCTCCAGCAACCCACTGTTGTGTTAGTCTCTTAGTTGTGTCTGTTTCTTTGCGGCCCCATGGACTGTAGCCCGCCAGGCTCCTCTGTCCATGGGATTCTCCACGCAAGAACACTGGAGTGGGTTGCTGTGCCCTCCTCCAGGGGATCTTCCCCACCTGGGATCAAACCCAGGTCTCCTGCATTACAGGCAGATTCTTTACCATCTGAGCCACGAGGGAAGCCCAGCAACCTCTACTGACACTTTTTTTTTAATTTAATTTTTAAATATTTTATACAATTTTTAAAGGTAATTGTGTACGATTTGTAAAGGTAAAGTGGACTCTGCACCCTCTGCCCAGTCTGCTCTTGAGGGCACCCAGTGAATCACACCTTTGCATCTCCTAGGACCCCTTCCACCCCGGAATTCACCCTCGGCCCCAGTTGGAGAGCAGCATCCGCTATATGTCAACAGTAAGGACTTGCATCCGGACCAGCGTCTGCCCACGAAGGCAGAGAAGGGCCTCTCCAGGGGAGTCGGGAGAAAGAAGACTTATGCTCCTGAGTCTCGGGAATCAGTCGTTTGGGGAAGAAAGCAGGAGGCTTCCGGGGAGAGCTTGAGGAGCAACGGTATGGAGCTGGTGGTGGGAGAGGGAAGCAGGAAGGGATCCCAGCCCCCGGGGGGAGGTTTAGGTCAACGGTTAGCAGATTATATCCCACGGGCCAAATCTGGTCCACCAAGTATTTTTGCAAGGAACATTGGGTATGTATTGTGTATGGTTGCTTTCACACCACAGAGCTGGGGTTTGCAGAAACTAACGTATTCACTACCTTTTTTTACAAAAAAAAAAAAAAAAACC